ACAGAATGATGCAGTTTGCACGACATTTTCAGCTTTGGGGCCTGGGCTGCGCATGAGGCACGGCACGGCCAGCGCCCCACGCTGACGCAGCGGGCAGCAGCTGCTGGCAGCAGGGTCCGGCATCCCCAAGTCTCTCCTCAGTCTTTCCTGAGATCAGCGTGGGTTTTGCCTGAGAAAGGTATGAGTCAAGACTTGACGATGTGGCCCCCAGCAGCTGCCACCGCCGCGGCGCGCCGGCCGAGCTGGAGGTGCCAGCGTCGGGACCCCGGGGGAAGCTGCCCCAAGAGCCTGGCTGTCACCAGCTCTCGGCACGAGTCACCGCGTCCCCAGCAGCGGCAGGACGACTGAGACTGTTGATATGCTGCATAACGCCAAGGTTTCTCCAGCCAAGACAATCCCTCACCCTGTACTAGGACAGGAGTGCAGCCCTAAGCAGGGCTTTAAAACCCAGCTCACAAATTGGGAATTCAAAAATTCCTACCGCTTGTCCACCCGATACCATGCAAAAAATGGTTATAGTTTTGGTAATTGGTCTGCCTTTTTTAACCTCTTGCCTCTCCCTCGACCTCCCCACCTGTTTTGATCGGTTTTAGAAATCCTGAGCAATCAGAGGACGAGCAAAGGACAGCAGCGGCTCCAGCCAAGCCCACCGCAAACAGGGGCCAGCAAGAGGCGGTGACCGGCCGGTGCCGGTGCCGTCACCAGGCCGAGGAGATAGAACAGTCTCACACACACACCTTGTTTCCAGCTCCTGCCGTGGGAGAGCGAAGCGCACACAGACGGCATCAGCCGCGCACACCAACACACACATGCACGGGGTGCCCGACCCGACCCGCCGCCTCTCGGACCCCGTTCAAGCGACTGCGGACAACGTGGGAAATCGGGTCGTTTCCCTCCCTAAGCTAAACTACAGGGTTCTGGCTAATTTTTATTGGTGAGGTCAGGAATACATTCCCGCATCTAAAGTGTCAGCTGTAAGAACTCTTTTCGGGATAATTTTTAAAGTAGCAGTTCGGGTTTATTCCTCTCTGCCTGCACTACTTGGCAGGTGAGAGCGGAAAGCGGCCTGAAGCAAAGCAGCAGACGTGCCCGGCCACCAGCCCGGCCACCAGCCCGCTCCTCCGCGGGGGCTCCCTCGGGCGGGCTCGGCTCAGAGGAGCAAAACCGCGCATCTGCTGGGACAGCGCAATCCAGCTCCCCAGCCTGGGCAAGCCGTGAAAGCAAGAGAGTATTTTTGCACGTAACGGCAGCTGTCCGAGGGGTTTTGCTCACGCAGATCTGCTGGCGTCCGTGTCAAACGAACGCAACTTCAGCACCGGCTGAAGTTTTAAGCGCAGATCAAAGGTTTGAGCACGTTTTTGCTGTCGGTAGCGTGACACGAGCCGCGGGGAGCAGGCAGGCAGCACGGCCGGGACGCACAGCTCCGCTGGGGACGGACCCGGAGCCTGCCCTCGGGGGAGGCATCTCCACCAACTGACAGGCGCTGAGTCAGGCTGGACAGGACAGAAAAGTCTTCTCAAAACCACTACATGGAAAACCCATTTGCTATTTTTTCTGTGGTAAGGTGACCAATAACTAATATTATTCAACAACAGAAGAGATTTCTTGTAAACTTCATATTTATTGATTTTTTTGGGACAAATTAGATCTTCTGAATCCCAAAGTGTACATATATATATTTATATATAGCTTTCTCCATAGGGAAAACACATATATCAAAGGAGGAGAGACATTTCTAAAGTGCCCCTTGTTATACAGTACTGAACATGATTTCTAAGAGCATTAGCGTAAATCAGGAATGACAGCCGTGGGGAAAGAAGGGCTGCGGTTTGCTCTTTTCCCCACAGAACAGAAAGAAGTTTGGCGACTTTAAAAAAAACAAACAGAAAAACCCCAAAGAAACGTTTCTGGTAGCCGTGGAGAAGGCAGATGAGACCCGGGATGCCTGGCCAGCTTACGGGCCGGCCGATGGGACACGCTGTTCGTCAAGTGGAGGCGAACACCGACGGAGGGGTTCAGCCATTGCAGAACTCCAAGGGGGAGAGAAAAACCGGCAGAGACGCAGGACCCGTACGTGAGCAGGGCAGTGACACTGTTACCTTTAAACCATAAGGGAGTAAAAGATGAGGAGGTCAGCAGCATCATCTGTCGATACAGTAAAGGCCGTTAAATAATCCACAAGAAAGCTCATTTGCCTGTATCGAATAAAGCGGGAACTCTTCTCTCCATCCCCTACGCTTTTTACCATGGAAAGCACGGAGCAGGTGTACGCCTGGGTCACTGCTGGTTACCAGGATCTACCTTGGGATAAGAAGCCAACGGGGTTAAGGTGGGAGCAGAGTTTTCAATGCAGAAAGTGAGGCGTCACGCAAAGCTGCAGGTAAGAGGAGCGGGACCAACCCGCGCAGGCTGACCCCGCCAACGCGGCACAGGGAACGACGCCGGGGGACGGAGGGGTCTCAGCCAACGCTCGGGTGCTGAGCCCCACTTCCCAACCCGGGCTTTTTCTCCTTCAATGAGCTCAGCCACTCTTGACTAGAAATGAGGCTTCCTGCCTCAATTTTGTTATTTTGTGAGTTGGAACAGTAAAGAAAGGCAGAGATGCTTCCTCCCGCTCCTAATGCAGCTACAGAAGGCAAAGCCACCCGGTTCCTCCTAAGAAGGGAGATGACCCTGTTGCAAATACTCAGTTTTCAAGAGTTGCTGATGAGGAGCAACTGTCCTGGTATCTAATGCTGATCTCCAAAATACTGCACGCAAAACACAACGTCCTTGGGAAAGCACCTGCAGGTACGAGGAGACGACAAAGCCCTGGCACCTCTGCTAACCCCACAGTGTTAATGGAGCACTACACGCGAGAACAAATGATCTATTTAAATGTGGTTTAAGGATAAGGAATCCTTAAAGATTTGTCCATTCTGCTGCAGAAACCGTACTAGCAACACAGGCAAGAGCTTCCTGGACGCAAGGATGCAAGAAAAAGAAAAAAAAAAAACAAAAAAGTGTTAACTATGGAGCAACCCAGGGCTTTATAAACAGATTTAATGCATTTCTCAGCCATGTCTGCTCAGAAGGCACAATCACGCTTGACTGCGGTAATTACTCCTGCCTCCAGCACAGTCCAACCATAGCACGGACGGTATGGAACTGGCAAGTTTTCTTAATTAAACCTCTGCCACTGTTCACAGCAGTCCACAACCAGGCAAAAGTCTTGCTGGAGTCAACAGGCATTTTGGGCAGACCGTGGATCCCGTTTTCCTGTGGAAGATCTCGACTCAAAACGAGACGTAGGCAGCCAGCGCCGTGACGGCGTGACTGCTCGGCCCCACCTCGCCTCCTCCGCCGGGCGGGTGGCCCCTCTGACCGTACCAGGTCCGATGCCAGCGGGGCCCATCCTCCCCTCCTGCTGCCTACATTAAGGACTGCGGAATATTTGTTTTTAAAAAGAGAGGAAGACGGAAAAGAGATCATTAATAGCAGTACTACACACAAAATGGTGCGAGGACCAGAATATTCAGTCAGCAATGAAACACGTCCTAAGCAACCTCCCAGCAGGCGGGCGAGGACCCGCGGGACTTCGCCACTGACTTCAGTGAGGTCTGACCTAACCGCCGGCGAGGACGAACAAGAGGGTGACATAGGATGAGGGGTTGTTCTTTGGTGCACGTCTCACTGTAGTCTGTAAGACACGAGTTATACATACTGATCTCCTGGAATATACCGTTACCCTATACAAGACCAGATTTCTTTTTCCCCCAAAAAAGAAAAAAAAGATGTCAAAACTGCTTGCACTTTGGAAGATACCACATGCACATTTATCCCTTTTCTAATCCACTGACTCCCACGCTAAAACGTGGCCAGTTCAGGAACAAACTAACAGAGAAAAGTAACCCATGCAGCAAATCTACTTAATTTCTGTTGGTCTTCTTGTCCCAGGTTCCACTCTATCAGGCCAGATAACCGTACTGCAAGTTACCAGCGCAAAATACCTGCCTCTGCAAAACAAAAACGAACCCAAGAAACCTGGGGGCTTGGGACTGGCAGGAGGAATCCTGAAAGGGGGAGTGCCATGCACAGAGATCGGTAAAATCAATTATTGCATCAGCAAAACCAAGCCAAAACAAAAAACAAACCCCCCAAAAAACCATCCAAACAAAACATTGTCAACCATCAAAATAATAAAAAACATTATTTTTTTGACATAGCTATAAAAATCAAGTCATTTATAAAACTGCAACAAATGAAGTCCAGTTGTATATTCTTTTTCCTTTTATTAGACAGGACAGAGAATTTCCTTAAAATGCCGTAACAAGTCACAGTGATTTTAGATGGTTTTTTGAAATGTAATATATTGACGGGAAATACCTTTAACATGGTTTAACTTTTTTTTTTTTTTTTTTTGTCACTGTATATGTACCCTGGTCCACCAAACCATCTATCTTAAAGTTTCTTGTTTAGAGAGGACACTCTGTCTTCTTCCTCCAAAAATGAATTTTGTCTAATAATCCTGCAAAATAATCAACCTTACAAAAGGCCTTCTTCAAATGTTATATTTATATATATATGTATATACATATATATACACACACATACACACATATATATAAATATAGACTTCTATGATTTTTTTTCCCATTCTACGCAATGTCTCAATAAAGAGATCAGCAATTTTTATTCTACAAAGAAGCAACACATAAAAGGGGAAAATTAAAGTCTTAAGAACATCATATCCATATTTCACTGATTACACATAAAAGGAAAAAAAATCACCATGAACAACTGTCTTTGAAGTTTTCTCGGATTAGCAAAATTCAAGTGCAGAGAGGCCCCGTCTCTCGCTGCCAGCGGCAGGTTGGTTACTGGGCGGCTGAGGACAGCCCAGCCCGGCGTCCTGCCACGCGGCGTTTTCTGCACTTCCCTCCCGCGAAGTCGGACGTGGTTGGAATGTATGGAGTTTAGGAAAGGTTCCCAACAAAGACCTCGCTGTCAGACGATCCCCTCTAGGCCAGCTTCAGTGTGCTCACTGGGAATGATGGCATGGTTACCATAGTCACCGGATTTAGGACCGTTTGCCCAACTAACTGCGGGTGATGGACAACTTGGGTTCCTACAGCAGGCTTGGCCATCACCGCTTGCTGGCCAAGGTTTGTGGTTCCATTCACTTGCTGGTGCGAGATCGTGTGAGCAATGTGGCTCACCACGGGCTGGCTGACGGCCACGGGCTGAGGGTAGATGGGCAGCTGCTGGCCGAGGTGGGCCATGTGGTTGATGGTGGCTGGGTGCACAGTGATGTGGCCGATAGGCTGAGCAGCAGTTGTAAGTTGCACAGGGCTGGACGTGGAAGGTGCAATGTGAGCAATGTGCTTGGTCTGTGGACCCTGAATCACGTGGTTGACAGTCTGAATGACCGAAGCATGGGTAGTGGCGGTGTGGGCAATAACAGTCGATTGCACTGTCGAAGCCGCCACGATGTGAGTCTGTGCAGGGACGATCGCCTGCGGCTGGACCAGTGCTTGTGTCTGGATGGGAGGCTGTGCATGGGCTGGGGTTTGTTTCTGCTGGATGGACAGGTGCTGGGGCAGAACCGCCGGGTGGTGGGAAGCAGCGTTTGAAGGGACGGCTTTCAGGAGCTCTGGGTGCTGGCGCTGGGTTAGTTTTGGTAATGAGTTCACTGGCCTGTCATCTTCCATGTCTTCATCCATGTTGTCTTCACCCTCTGGAAAAAACGAAAGGAAGAAACTCCCATAAAAAAGAAAGCAGAGCATGAACTGGACTAACCAGCCTCCCTAAAAGGCAGCACAGGCGGAAGAGACGACAGCAGGAGGAGTCACTGAACTACGGGCAGGCAGCATCACATGGCACAGCATGGCACAGCACGGCACGGCACAGCAGGCTCCACCGATCCCCAGCGGGGCGGCACACCCCTCTCCTCCCTGCCTGTGGGCCAAGGACCCGGAGCCAGGCAGGCATGGCTAGCTCGAAGCCCCAGCTAGAGAGGGCTGCTCCCAACAGGCTGAGAGATCTCGCTCGGCAGGCAAGGGCAGCAGCGTGCGCAGAGGCAGACGGAGAGCACCTGGGCTGAACTCTGTCTGGGCTGAGGAGGGCTCCTGCTGGGAAGAAGAAGAGGGTTTCCTCTCCTGTCCAGTTGTTCCACCGATCAGTACCACCCCTTCTGCTCCCAGAGCAGGCAGGAAACGGCCATGGAGAACCATGGCAGCAAGCTCCTCATCTGGTTCTGGAAAATGGACTCTTGTCCAGTCCACGAACTACGGAAGCAATGCAGGAACATGCTGGCCCTGCGGAGATCAGGAAGACAAGCAGGGCACCTTGCACTGCCAGCTCTAAAGCCAGCCATGCAGCAGAGATTAAAAATCTCAGCAGACACAGAAGCAGCAGGAACACCAGGGAAGACACTTCCCTTCTGCAGGCTCTGTGGTTACTAGTAGCTGGAAGTGATCATTTTCAGCAGAAGCCAGCTGGAGAGGTGAGCGGCCGACACTCCTATTGACAAGCACTCCTACTCTCAACTTCCACGAGCCTACACTCGGAGTCTGCGAGTATGTTCAAAGGTGATGCGCCTGATTACAAGCCTGAATGAACCAGAAAGCTCAGGTTTTCCCTTCCTGGAACCCGCTGTATCGTCTGCCTGGAGTGCCAAGAGCAAATGCTGTCGCGATTTGAAGGAACTGCTGCAAATGGTTAGGGACTGCTACAGCCTCCCCATCTCTGGATAGCAAAGCACTGTGCATCCACAGACTGCCTATTCTTCCTGCTGCAGATCACTGGTACGGAGAAAAGCATGCACTCTCCTATCTCACCAAACTTCTTACTGGGAACAGCACGCCAGGTATTCGTTAGTATCATCTCATCTTCACTGTGAATCCTTTTCACACAACGTGAAGGCTCAGTGAGTTGTTCAAATGCTCTGGTGATCCTTCCTGTACCAATTCCTTCTTCTCTACGTGGCTGAACGCCCTCCCACATCCACGCACGAATACATCAGGGTGCTCATACACCACTCGGCTCTAACGAGCAGGGATGCACAGTTGTGGAAGAGGAAAACTAAGTTTTGAAAGCAGGGAGCTCCATGGGAGGTATCAGCAGACTGAATGTGCAAACCTGCACTTTGTATCTACCTACTGTGGATGCGCGATTTTCAGTTCACTTTACACAAGCGGCAGTGTATTATCAGGTCAACATCAACGATTACAAAACACTTGAAAACCTTTTACTTTATTCTGACTGCAAAGAAACCTTGATGGTGCTCAGTGAGGATCCCCGCCACCGCTATATAACTGTGTCAGTGACATGCAGTGATGATTACAAGAAGAGAGTAATTACGGGTACCTGATGCTGTCGAGGTAGATGCCTGGTCATCCTCTGGCTGAACTGTCTGTCGAATAATTCGGTCAATCTCCAAGATGTCCATCCACTGGCTCAACTCGTTCTTCAATTCTGCCAGTCGCTGCTGGGTAGCAATCTTCTCTCTTGCCAGCCGCTCCATCTCATGTTCATATTCTTTCTCCTTTCTCTTTAAAGTCTAAAGACAGAAGGAAGAAAAAGAAATAAAAGGAGAACAAAGACAAATATAACCTACACTAACCCGGTCACTCCCATGTCCATAGCTGGTCTTCTCTTCTTACCTGTTATGCTGGTGTAAAATGTGCTCGGATACACCTACGCCTTTCAAATTCAGGCAGAAAGGGAAAGGACGAAAGCTGAAAACCTAAAGGGTTGCCTTGGCCAACTGCTTTCTGCATTCTGAAGGAAAACTGATGAGCCTCCGCAACTGAAATACTTAACCACGTCAGGTGCGAGTCCCTTCAACTCCAGGGGTAAATTTAAAGCCTAGAACTCCTCAGGAAGAGCTGTAAGGCTTTCTCTCTGAAAAAGAGTATTTCTGCCACTCTAAAGACAGAAAATTAAATCTTCTTCCTGCATTCTTCCTCTTTCGCTCTGACCTCCCCAAGGAAACTAAAAAAACTTAAGAACCAAGAGTGCTGAACTATGACTATGAGTCATAGCTGTAATGTGGCAGCCAGACCCTTCCCAGCACGGCCCTTCCACCCTGCCGACTTCCTACAGCAAAGGCAGGGCACTGACGGTACGTGTGTGCAAACGCTGGCAAGAAAGAACCTCTGCAAGGAGACCAACAAACAACTCCTGGATGCCGAAGGCTCGCGGACCGTGAAGCAGACTGTCCGAGGTCCCAGACAGGCGTTTGCTGGAGGAGCAGCAACGTAAACCTGGACTCTCTGTTCCCTCCTCTCTTCTGTTTCAGCCCAAGGGAGCTCCTTGTTGGACTTCAACATCAGTTTACAGCGACACGAGCCAGTACTCAGCTCCCAACATCAGCCTCACTTCACCTGCCTTATGAAATAGTGGAAGAGGATTAGGGCTTGTCGCAGACTGGTGGGAAGGTGCAAAGGGGGGGAAACAGGTGCTGTTCCCTCCGATCGCCGGGTGAGAGGACATGAGGCCCCTGTCAGTTAGTCACTCGGAGAGCGGGGCTATGGAGTTTTTACTACATACATCTATTCCCAAGCATCCCTAGGGAAAGGAAGCATCGACACAGAGAGCAGTGCTCCTGCGCAGCAACGGACTGCCGGCCCACGGCTTGAGAAAAGTGGAAAAAACCCCACGTCCTTGCACGAAAACAGAAACCTTGTGCAGAAAACTCTGCTCTTACGTGGGAAGATGGAACCGCAGACATCTTGAAGTATTTCAAAGACAAGGTGCATAGGAAGAGATAGTATCTTTTACTAAACCAACTGACGGTAGTTGGGGAAAAAAGGCAAGCTTCGGGCACGCAAGCCCAAGTAGGTCTACACAAAATCACGGTGCATTTCCGTAACCAGCACATGAATCATGGAGAGAGAGAGAGGGAACCGGTACATAGTCAGAAGAAAAGAAAAAGCACAAGTACTGATTAGCTTCTGAGCAAGACACCCCACACCAAGAGCCCCTGACCTAGAAGAGATGGCTAGGAGCCAACGATACCCTGCACCATGGGGGAAATCCTGAAGTCAAATGCGAAGGAACAGTTTATGTTCTCCTCTTCTGCTCATGCCCACTCAGCACTGGAAATCCGACGCCTTCGTGGGAAGGGAAGGGAAGGGAAGGGAAGGGAAGGGAA